TGTCACTTATTTTTCTCAAACTTTTTTCTTTTCTCTTCCCTTTTTTCATTACTGTGCAACATTTGTCAACAAAGCGACGAAAACGTAATGACACAAGAAGTGCATAATATTATGTATAACTGTTACTCAAAAAAATGATAAATCTACAAACTGTCAAGTAGTGTCAGTTTATTGGCAGTAGCGACGCTGATAGCTACTTGAAGGACGGTGACAGCGACAGCAGCGATATCGACAACAACGATGACAACAATAACGACCACGGTGGAGAAGAAACCGAGAGTAAACTGTGGAATGAAACCTAATGAAATAGCGACCACAGCATCACAGACAATAGAGCAGTAACGTGACGACAACGACGACAACAAAGGGTAACAAAAAGCAAGACAACGACAAAGGCGATGGAGACAACTGCCGCATCAGCAGGAACGATTTCAGCATTAAGGATGGCCGTTGCTGCCTAGATGCACAAGAGGCTTGCACATAGGAAGCTCCAGCGATGAACGCCGTCTATAACAGAGCTCGTTAAAATTGGCAAATTTGCCCTTCTTTTTCTATTTAACCATTTTCCTTGAAGCAGATATATTACTGAAAAGAAAAGGACCAAATTAAATTGACAAGCATTTTGATCCTATCTTTTTTGCAGTCACAAAGAAGCCAGTTCAATTTAGCATGATTTTCTCTTCCATCTCTTTGTCAATAACCACCTCAAATTTCGTTTCTGGGAAAAAAAGAAAGCTAAGGCAAAAACTAGCATTTTTAATTCCTTTTTTATTCGTATGAACAAATGACAGCTGAATTTGACGGTTAACAGTAGTATCGGTAGCTGTTACTCTCAGAGTAAACGGCCGTTGTATGGGAAACGGCATCCAGCTGTGTGATCACTTCAGAGAGTGAGATGTCATAACAGAAGGCAACTCCTCGATTTGTCGTTGACAGCCACTTTTTTCGCTTCAAACAAGGTTATTGACTGATAAGTCGTTTTCAAAATTTATGTATTTATTTATTTGTGTCACATTTTGTATAACTTTTTTTCTCACTTTGTTGTTCTTTTTTTTTTGAAAAATTAACAGAGAGAGAAAAAACGGCACAAAACAATAATATGCCAAACAAACAGAAAACAGAAAGATGATTTTTTTCGTTTTACCAACTCAATTACCACCTTATCTCAACGGTACTCCAGCAAGCAACTGAATAAACAAATATTTCATTCAGAAGGCCCACTTCTTCCTTCGTTGTCGTTATTAGAGCAGTACTATTTGTAAATTATTTACACCAAAAAATACTCTCTTTAGAAAAAAGAAATTGATAAATGAGCAAATAAAGAAATAGATGCGTGTTTTTCATCTTACTTTTTTTTTTACTGGTTACAGTTCGTCAGTCAAAAGAAAAAAGACACCTTTTTAGCCATGATAACCCCTCCACTTAATTATCTTTTTGGACATCTATTGAGCGCTAGAATCGAAATGCTTAGAAACAATGCTATTAGCTAAAACGGATTGTGTACAACGCTGACAGAGACCTATTCTAACAAAAAAGCAACTCTCTTTAAATTTAAATATATTAATCCAAACAAAAAAACCATAAATTAGACAGGTCACGTTTTCATTTTATTTTTAAAACTCCGGCCTCAGCTTATATTTTGCATTTTCTGTACCGCAAACTGCATTACACCAAATTCTTCAACGAAGGTTCTGTTTTCAAAAGCCACATATTTATGCAATTTTTGTCTCTTGTTTCTGTTCTTCCACTTTCCCCTAAAATTTTTGAATTTAATGCAACTAATTGATACTTGAAAGAAACTGACAGTCTTTACTAAACTGTAAATCTTTAAAACATTATCAGTTGTTAAAAAGTGCACATTATCAAAGCACTGTTTATCGTTTGAGAAGGATAAAAAATAACATATAAACAAAAAAAGAAAAACAAAATTTCATAGTTATTTAAAAAGTACCATAAAACTTAAAATAATGCTTTTTTCAAATGTTTGTTTAAGAAGAAAAAAAGAGAAGTTTCTTTGTCAGTCTAAACAACTTTTCGTTTTTGTCATATGATTTTGTTGTTTATAAATATGAAATATAACAACAAAAAAAAATTTGAAATTTTGCTTTGCTTTAAAAAATCATCTTTCTCTTCAATTTTTTCTTTTTTTTTTTTTTTTTTGTATTTTCAAACTTAATAGAACAGTTTGTAGAAAAACCGTGTTTTTCCCTGGTGCGCTTAACAACGGCATTGATGACGACGATGGAACTGCTGTCGGCGGTGTTATTGGTTGAGGATAAATATGAAGATGATGACGATAGTGATGATGACATCAATATTAGGGATACAGATGAAGATGATGACAATAACGATAGTGATAGTGATAATGATTATTGGTGATGAGATCGATGAGAGTGATGATGATGATAATAAATAATCTATGAAATGATAACTCTGTTAACGTCATACCGTGCTTATTAAAAAAAGTGCATTTTTGTTTTGTTGTTGTTTTCTATCCGTTGCATTTTTCGGTTTTGAATTTTGTAAAGTTTTTCAAATGTTTGTAGACTACCTGTTAGCCCTTTAAAAGCTCAATAAACTTTTTTTTCAATATTATTTGAACAAAACTGGATCTGCATATTTATATAGTCATAGTTTTAATTTTGAAAATACTTTCTGACACAAAATAAGACTATAAATTATGTGCTACCGTTTAGAATTTTTAAGCAAACGAGATAATTCTGGCCAAAGTAAGTGTATTCAACATCTAAACTAACTTATCCGTCTCCTGCCACCTCTTTCCTCTTGAAACTGATCAAATAACCTTTAAATTTTTATTGTTTACAACTTTTTTAATCTTACTTTTTATAGTCTTTTTTTTTTCACTTTTAAACAATATTAAAAACATAATTTACGGTTTAAAAAATTATTGTTCAGCTTCTTTTATTTTCACTGTATACTTAGAGAATTGTTCGTTAACAAAAAACAGAGCACTAAATAGTAGAGTAGATTTCAGTTGCACTTGTTGTTTCAATCAGAAAAACTATAGCCTCGGATCAGTCTTTGTTAATATCAATGAATGTGGTGTCTCTTTAACAGTTTTTATTACAAACCGTATAAAAACAATAGAAACAGCCACAGCATCAACCGGTAATGTCTCAGGCATTGCCGATATCAGCTACAGCAGTAATGACAGCATCAGTGAAACAAATTTTAAAGCATTTTATTTTTCCAAAAACAAATTTTTAACTAACTTTTTCAAGTTTTCCTTTGTTTTCATTTTATTAAGTACTCGAAATTGAACCTTTCACATTTTGAACTTCTTTCGCTCAATTTTTGCATACACTTGTAAAGTTCAAAAGCAAAAATGATGAAAAAGACAAGTTGTTGTTTCTCTGTTTTTCAAAACAGCAAATTCGAGTAAAATTGTACACATTAATAAGAGCAGAACAAAAATATCTTTGTTTTTCTTTACAATTACCCTACTGCTAAAAAATTTTGCTTTGTAAAAGTGCATCAAAACAGTAACTCCAGTAAAGAACGATAACATCACCACGAGCTGTAGCTGTAACAATATATCTTGTTTGCTATTGCACTAAAAATAGTTGTATCCCAACTTGTTGTTAGCTGTAATTTCGTACCAACCGCAACAACACTTCACTATCGACAAACAGTTCATTGAATATTTTAAGCATATATTACTTTTTTTTTAAAGCATAGAAACAAAACGTTTATAAACTGCATTTATTTTTGCCTCGCTTTTACTGATAACAAATACAGCGAATCTTGAAAAGCATAAATTGAACGGTTCTTCTCTTTTCTCTACGTTTTTTAAATAGAGCACAATGCGCCACATAAGATAAAAATTTTTTTTTGTTTTTTCCATAGCAAAATGAACGGCCACTTTGCATTGTTTGAAGAAAGATAAGCTTCAAGTTGAAACTCTTTTTTGGTCGTAAACAGCTTGAACCTGAAAAAAACTGTGTCACTTTTGAAGAATCCAATTTCTTCTTAAATTTCAACTAGGTTTTGGCTACACATACTGTTCCTTTCAGATCCTCCAGGATGGTTTTAGCAGTTTTTGCAAATAAAAAGTTCGAAGCCTCTTTGCAAACCAAATTCTCTGGTGGCTTATTCTCTACGCCTTGACTGTTAGACCAAATCTGCAGCATAACAAATCCAAAAATATAAAACAACAAATTCATTGTCCATGCAAGAAAAGCATTCTATTTAACCGTAACAGAATAAATATGTAAGCAAAAGTAGTTTGTAAACTGGCGAAAAACAATCAAAAAGTGACAAAACGCACTGTAAGAGTCTTTCCAGGTTTTAGAACAAGGTCTTTTGGTAACGTAACAACTAATGGATTTCCACCATCGGTAATTTGATTTACTTTCCACTCTCCAATTGCAGCACTTTCAGTTTTACTCGTGTTTTGAAGGCGTATAAACCTACCGTCTCGATCAAACTCCTAAAACCTGCTTTCTACACAAAAAAAGAAGAAATAAGAAATAAAGTGCAGAAGATACGTGCAGAAAGACAAAAGTTTTGGTCAATTACAGACAGTACAGTAACCCCAAAAACACCTTTAGAGTAAAATTTATACTACTTTTTTGAATACTTCTCATATAATGCAGAGTTACCAGCAAAAGACAGAATTTTAAATATTTAGAAAATTAAGGTAATTTAAATGAGTAACCTGTATTGAAACAATTCCTTTGACTTCTTCATGATGAGTTATCTTTTCAAAGCTGGTTCCATCAAAATAATTTGTGCGTTCTGTAAAACTGTTCTACTGCAACAGCAATCCATATCAGATTTTTGAATATTCTTCGCTCCAGGGAGAGTTTGTTCAAAAAAAAAGGTATTCCACAAGAAATAACTATTAATGAGATAAACTATTACTTATTTCTTCCGCACTAACTAATTTCTGCTCTTGCACCTCAGGTAGTTTCTTTGTCTTTCTTTCACCTCCTTCCAACAGTTTGCGGTACTCGGCAATCTCTTCCTCGAGCGACTAAAACATTTACATGCTAAATCACATCAAAAAAGTTGTAACACTCAATAAATTTTAAATTTTTGTAAATTGTAAATTTTTTTGTAAATTTTTGTAAAAAACTGTAAATTTTTTTAGACAAATTTTTCAATTATACAGAAAACCAAGCTCAAGTAATTTTATATTTTTACACTACATTTCTTAAAAAAATCGATTAGAAATTGCGAGCTTCATATACAACCAAATAAGACCTTCTGAAATTTTCAATTAAAAAAAATTTTTCTTTGCCACTTTTTTATCAGAACTCTTACTTCTTAACAGCTTCTTAAACCAACACTAGCCATTCAAGTAAGAAACTTTTCTACCGCTACTTTAAAATTAGAGCTTAATTTTAACGAACTGCAAAGACATTTACTTTAAAGAAACTTCTCACATGTACGTGAGTATAAATAACTTCAATAAACAGAAGGTGTACCTCTTTAGTGTCAGTAAGACCTTGAAGTTCGACAGACAACTGCTCAAGCTCCTCAGTAAGAGTTCTGATTGAATTTTCTCGTTCTTCTAAGAAGATACGATAATTTTGTTGTTCTTCATTGATCTGACGCTGCAGATCTCCAACCTGCTTCGTCAAAATAGAATTCTAAAAAAAACACTATATTTTTTTGATAATAAATGTATTTGTTTCCAGCGACAATCGCTGACATTCTGACTTAGCTTTCCAACTTTCAGAAATCGTAGAAACCTTTAACAATAAAGAAAAAACCCTTTGCTGAAAGTTATATAAACTGTTGAAATTACAGTAACAGCTGTGCACTATAATCTTACCCTTTCTTCCAACTTTGTGAGACGACTTTTCACCTCTGTTCGTTGAACTCGAAGACGTTTTACCTCCTGATAAGAGTAGTTCTTTTCGAGTAACTGCCGGCTTGTTTCCGAACGAAATTCTTTAATTTTTAGTTTGTACCACGTTTCCATTTCAGTTCTGTTTTCTATTGTAATCTAAACTGATTAAAGCTTTAATTAGGAAGTTTTTAATTCGCAGGGCTTTTTTAACGACAAAACATTAGTTTGCTAATCTAAAAACACACAATGTGACTACTTCATAATTCATTTTTACTTGGTCATATTCTTTGCGGAGGGAGCGAATAGCGCTGGACAACTCTCTTCTGAAGTATTCCTGATTTTCCCAAGTAGTATCTCGAGCCGTTTCACCTTGCAATTCTCGTAACTCCTGTTCTTGTTCCTGACGTATAAATTCAAGTTCATCAGAAAGGGCTTCAGCTCTAATTTTAAAGTCCGCGTGAGACGTAGACTCGGTTTCGAGTTCCTGCAAAGCGTCGAATGGTATCCCCAGAGGTGTGTCACATTTTAAAGTGCTTTATCATATATTTCCAGTTGGAGTAAGATTCAAAACTGACCACGCGTAATCGAGTTTGCATTGTCAAATAGTAAGCGTTCAGTTTTTTGAGATTCAAAAGCACGCTATCGCGTTCCTCTAACCGACGACGCAAAAGGTTCTTCTCATACTCCAATTTACAAAACTTCTCCTTAATGTGCAGTAGAGATACCCATCATAAACAAACAGAAACTAGCTTGAATAAACATTTAGCGATAGCACAAGCATGCACTCAAATAAGCGAAAATTCATACGATAAGCTTGTCGATATGTTTTGCATCGGCTTCGTTCTTTTTGCAAGCCTCATCATATCTAAAAATTAAGATACCTTTTTGCAAACGGTCTTAGGCTTGTACTCGATATTTAAAAAAATTTACTAAATCAACACACCTAACTCAGTGGCCTTAAACTAAGTTGTAGGTTTCTACTATGCGTTATATATGAGTTTCCTTTTACATTTTAAGCAGTATTATCTGAAGCGCTGAAAACGGTTACATGTTGCACACAGAATCACGTTGCAAATCTGCATTAAATGCTAATTGCAACCAACAGTTTATCAGAATGCTCCAGCAGTTTGAAGCACAACTCTGTAATCGCTAAGAAACTTCTTTTTTGACTAATGTCTTTTAGCATTACAAATGTAATTGAATCTGCAAGACCAGCAATCAAAAACCTTTTCTTGTATTCAGTGATTTCTTGCTGCAGTTCAGGCATTTTACCGATCAACTCATCTGTTTCAGTAGTCTCTTGTTCGGCTATCTTTCTAGCGTCCTGAAAATGTTGCAGCAACATATTTTTACATGTTTGGATTCAAATTTGAAAAGAAAGGACTGAAAGATATCCATTTTCCGAACAATTAGGTTGGTAAATGCAGCCATTTTTTTTTTTTTTTTTTTTTTTTTTTTTTTTTT